GTGTGTGTGTGTGTGTGTGTGTGTGTGTGTGTGTGTGTGTGTGTGTGCATTGATGTTTTGCCTGCATGTCTGTCTGTGTGAGGGTGTTGCATCCTGGAGTTACAGACAGTTGTGAGCTGCCAGGTGGGTGCTGGGAAGTGAACCCTGAGCCTCTGAAAAAAGCAGTCAGTGCCCTTAGCTGCTGAGTTATCTTTGCAGGCCCCGAGTGTCTTCTGAATATTAGCCACTGCACCAGAACCATCTTGAGGAACCCTCACAACGACATGGTGAAGTCAGAATTACGAGCATCATTTCCTGAGCAACCCCAGGGCTAAGGCCACCCTGAAACTCCACTGCGAATCAGGGGACAAGTGGGTGGGAACCAGCGTAGAACGTAGGTACCATGGTCAGTGAAACCGTTCTTTTCGGAGCAAGGAGGGGAGGCCCTGAGTGGCGAAAGAGGGCAGAGTGGAAGAGATGAGGCCTACAGGAATCCCCAGTGCGCTGGTCCCACCCTCTGGCTTCTCAGGGATCAACTCTTATTTGGAGCTGAAGCCCCAAAGAGCTGTGAATCGGAAGTTTCTGGTTTGTTTGAAGACTCAGTTAAGTCATGGGATGTTTTCCTAGAAGCTGTCTTGTGAGAGGAGACGTGATGTTTTGCTCTAAGCTCTCACATGCGAGGGACATGACTTTGGCCAGCTGAAAACTTCCGTGGGTGGACTCTGAGGAGAGGCGATACACAGAAGCCCATGGACAGTGAGATGTTGCTTTTTGGATCGACGTCGCTGCGCTGATCTTCGTGCTTCGACACTTGGCTTTGCAGAGAGAAACGTTCCAGGGGACTTCTCAGGACAACCCAATTGAGACTTGCGGCTTTCCCTGACCTGTCCCGATCTTCTGGATCATGCTGACTCGTGCTGCTGCTTGGTGTTGGCCTTTGGACTGGACTACTGGTATCCGGACAACCAAGAGTGGACTCATTCCAAAGAACTACATCTGAAAAGCTCTACAACCCTTTAACCTAACAGCCTCCTTTCCCCCCTACCTCTGATTAGTGGGTGGAAGGGAAGAAGGAATGTTTAGGAACCCTTTAAAAAGTAGGTTTGGTGAAACAGCTAAGCCTCCAGAGCCGTTTGGGGAAATCATGGGCTGGAGGGAGCCCAATGTTGTGGGTGTCTGGCTGGGGGGAAGCATGGGCTGGCGTGAGCCCAGTGCTGTGGGCAGGGATGAGTGGTTTCAGCTCTTTTGTCCCCTCTGACAGAGTATTCCTGTTTTGAAGAACCCACCAGCAGAGCCCCTAAATCTCCCCCTTGGCCAGCACCCTCACGTGAAGGAACTCCGGCTCCCCAACACTGTCTTGTCTCTAAGTCTGGGTGTGGCTGCTAACTGGGGGTGGTGGTGGAGAGAGGGTTTGCCTGCCTGACCCGTTTTTCCTATGGCTCAGCACGGGCTGGATCCTGAGTCATGCCTGGCAGCAGCCCCAAGATCCCAGGGAGCGTGTGAGGTCACCTCAAGTATTACCCCACAGCTCAGAAAGTTCTCCCCAGCTTTGAAAACACATGAGATGAAGGACCCCAAAAATCAGGCTTGCTGGCCTCACATTCACTACACAGCTGAAGATGAACTTGAACTCATCATGCTCCTGCCTCATCCTTCCAAGCGCTGGACTCAGGCATGTGCCATTATGCCCAGATGGCTTTTTAAAAAAAGATCTATCTTATTTGTATTTTACCTACATGGGTGTTTTGCCTGCATGTATGTCTGTGTGCCATGAGGTCAGAAGAGGGTGATGGATCTCCGGAACTGGAATTGCAAACAGTTGTTAGCTACCTCGACTGCTGAGATTTGAACGGGATCCCTCAGCACTCTCTTAACAGCTGAGTCATCACCCCAGCCCCAAGCTGGCCTTTTTGGTTTTGTTTTGTTTTTCGAGACAAGGCCTCACTACGTAGCGTTGGCTGGCCCGGAACTCACGACGTAAACCAGGCTGGCTTTAAATGTCATAGATAACCGTCTCTGCTCCTGTCTCCTAAGTGCTGGGATTAAAAGCCCATCCCGCCACACACAGGCCAGCTGCTCTTTTCACCAAGCCCTCCAGGAGGTTCTCACAGTCCACAGGCTTCACTCCTGGAAGCCAGTGAACGGTCTACACCACCTCCTTCCTCTGGGGCTCTGTGCCTCTCCTGCTAAGGGCCCTGGATGTGTTTGGTAAAATGCTGTCTGGCATTGCAGGAGCTGCGGTAAGTATGTGTCCCACCCATGCCTCCCTGAGTCACAAATTCTAGGCCATTTCGTAGGGTAAAGGAGTCGAGGAAGAGAAGAAGGAGGGAAGAACACCTAGGAGGTCGAGCGCCCTCCACCCCCGCCCTCGCAAGCCATCCCATCCCATCTGTTGCCTGATGGTGGCTTGGCGTCCCCGGTGCCAGGCCGGCAGCCTGTAGGATCAAGGGCTTCTATTTCTGCTCTGGGATGTTGCGGGGGGTTGGGGGTGCGCAAAGGAAATGCTGACAGCTGCGCAACAGCTGCATAGAGGCTCAGAGACTATAATTTTGCGACTTTCAAGACGGCCTTAAAGGGCTTCCCACACTCAGGAGAGGCATCGCCCTCAGAGGAGTCCTTTTCCCCATCTCCTGCCACTTATTTATCTTGGCTAGAAGAACAGAGGTCGAATTATGAGTCCAATCTATGAGGAGAGGATTCCAGAACAAGGGCTGGAAGAGGCGTCGGTTTTAAGAACTTTATCCCTGAAACGGAATCTCACCCATAATGTCCTGAGCTTCCGAAAGTAAGCAAACACAGCTTTGTCGCTTCCTGGGTAACCATGGCTACCCGCAGCATCCGCGCCCCTGGAGACCCTCTTGCAACCCAATAGGGATCCGTGGCAGTTTGGGGGGCCATGGAGCTCACCCAGCAATGATGAGTCTTTGTGTCATGACCTGTGGTGACTTATAAACGGGGTGCCATGGTTGTGTTTTTGTTTTTCAAGACAGGGTTTCTCTGTGTAATGGAGCCCTGGCTGTCCTGGACTCAGTTCTTAGACCAGGCTGGCCTCGAACTCACAGCGATCCGCCTGCCTCTGCCTCCTTGATTGCTGGGATTAAAGACGTGCACTACCACACCCAGATAATGGGGTGCCATGTTAAAAAGCAGGCCGGGGGTCTCCCTGGGAATCCTGACAGAAGGGGCCAGTGATTCTGCAGTGACCACAGCCATGGCCGGCTCTTCATGAAACCACAGCCCGGCATGAGCCAAGTTTCCTGGGAGTCAGGAAGATCTACAGCCTCTGGGGTCTCCAGACGGTGTTCCAGAAGCCTGGTCACCCCAGGCCTTACTCTGCCACAAACCTACCTTGTTCAGGTACAAGCCTTGGGAGAAACTTTTTTGTGACATTCTTGTCCTAAAAGTGGCACTGGACAGAGAGCCTAATGCGAGCAGACAGTGAGGCCCAAGGCTGTCAGTGGGCCTTCGCTGCCCCCGGCCCCCACCAGGATCTAGAACTTGGTGTATAACCTGGACACCAACCTCTGCAGGACGTGGCACCAGCTGCAGCTGAAGGTCAGGTTCGAGGACATGCAGCTGTCGCAGCTCCGATGCTGGAGACAGGCTGCAAGAGAGGAGGCGGCAGCTGTCAGCGTCACGTCGCTGCTCCTCTGAACTCTGGCTCCTTCCTGAACTGCGGCGCCTCTGACTTTGGAGACCTATAAGCTCATCATCATCTCCCCTCTCACTTTTGCTGTTGTGTTTTGAGACGGGTTCTCTCTCTATGTGGTTCTGGCAGTCCTGGGGCTTGCTGGCTTGCTAGGCAGACCAGCCTGGCCTCAAACTCACAGACATCCTCCTGCCTCTGCCTCCCGAGCCCTGGGATTATTGGAGAGCAAGTCCTTTTTTCTCCTGCCCTCCTGGCTATTGGTCCCGGGGGATGCTTGTTCTTATCTGCTTGCTTGGATTTTGAAGTACTTAGATATGTCTGTAATGACATATCCAGAGAGGTGTAACCAAGAATGGAAGTCCCACCCTGAACATGCATGGGACTGTTGTTGCATGGAAGCCCAGTGGGTTGGGGACCGGACCGAGGCTTCCTGACTGCTGAGCCCGTGTGGGCTGCTCTCACCCCAGTTTTGCCACCATGATGGACTGTACCCTCAAACGGTGAGCCAAAGTGTATACACCCTTCCTTTTTTAAGTTGTCTCTAGCAGGTACTTTACCACACTGGCAAAAAAAATAACCAATACAGGCCTTTCATGTGCCGAGGGGGAGGGTTGTCTAGAACGTAAGGAAACCATGGGGAGGAGCTTTCTTTACTCCATTTCATAGCAGGAACTGAGGTTTGGTGGGTTGTGGTTTGAGTCAGGGACTCTGAGCTTGGGGTCAGGGTGTTCAGTCTTGGGGTTCCATTGCAGATGTCTCTGCCCTGCTCTCAGCCTCTCTCTAGTGTTAGAGATTCTCTCCCAAGGGCTCCTCACTACTGCCCAGGCAGCTGACCCTGGCCTTGGATATTCTTGCTTCTTGATACTCTAAGACTTGAGGTTGATTCTCCCTGACTTTTTTTTTTAATTTTTTTAAAAGAATTTTTTATTTAATTTATGTTTATGAACACTCTGTTTTCATGCACACCAGAAAAGGGAATCAGACTCCATCATAGATAGTTGTGAGCCACCATGTGGGTTCTGGGAATTGAACTCAGGACCTCTAAGAGAGCAGCCAGCACACTTAACCACTGAGCCATCTCTCCAGACTGCTTCTACCAGTCTTTGAGAAACTCCTACTTCCCAGCTTTTGGGCTTCTCGCCTCGGTGGAGGGTGAATAGTTGGTGGGTGACTGTGACCTGAACTCTGTCCTCATCTTCTGGTCACTCTGGGATCTGAGGCTTTTCCCTATTACAGGAGAACACACTTGCTTGAGCCCAGGCTGAGATGAGGCCCAGGACTCATGACAAACCTCTCTTTTCCTTTCTCTGCTATCTATTCCCAGAATACTCAGGGAAGAGAAAAGTCAGGATGGGAGTGGTATGGGACACAAGAAGTGTCACAGAAGCTGGATAAAGCCTATGGTTTCAGACGGCAGCTGGGAGACATGAGACAAGAGAAGGAACAAAACCCTCTGGAAAGATACGATTCTGAACCAGACACAGTAGCACGTGTCTGTGGTCCTGGGAAACAGAGGCAGGAGGTTCACTGCAGAGGAAAAACCAACCTTGGCTACATAGCAAGCTCTGTCCCAACCATGGCCACCCAGTGAGGCAGGCTCAGGGACACCTCTCTAAGGGAAGATGGTGAGTGTCTATTTCTGGACCCCTGTCAGAGCGGTCTCAAGGCTCAGCTCTCAGGGGCTTCACATACGTGTTCCTAGCAATAGGTGGCACTGATTAGACACAAGCATACCCCAGGCCTCTGGTAAGCTGGTCCACCTCAAGGCTGCCATTTCTGCACTCAACTTGGCCTGTGCAGCTCCGGCCCCAACCACAGCCTTGTAGGTTGGTGACATTAGGCCCGGAGAAGTTAGGTGAGTGTGTCCCCCCAAGGATCGGAGGTTGGGCTGAGATGAGGACTCCGTATTTTTTAGTCTAAAGCATGTTCTAGAACAGCGGGCTGCTGTTACTCACTTGGCAATGGGGTGAACTCCACCGCCGTTGTGTTGGCGATCTTGCTGGAGTCCAGTTCCACACGGTGGTATTCGAAAATGGTCCGTCTCCGAGACTCTGAAAGAGAAGCAAAGTTTGTCATATCAGGAGCAGGTCACAGTGTGAGGGTTCCCAGGACTGGGTCCAGGACCCAGCAAAAGTTATTATGCAGCCAGTGAGGGAGGAAGTGAGCCTGGCATAAGGATGCCAAAGCTACAGGGAGAATGAAGCACAGTATTTGTCCATTCTCTCTGTGTGTCTAGCTCGCTCATGTAGAACTAACTGAAGGACTGCTTCCTCTGAGCAGCTCGCTTAGGCAGCTCCCCACTCTGTTCCACTCAGGCTGAGCGCCTTCCCCACACTGCCTTCCTGATTTTTCTTTATTAACTAATTAATTTACTCTGTATATCCCTACCACAGTTTCCCCTCCCCTCTCTGCCAGTCCTTCTGTCCCATCTACTCCTCCTCTCTTTCTCTTAAGAGAAGGGGAGGCCCCCCACGGACATCAGCTAGCCTTGGCATATCAAGTTGCGGTATGAGACCAGGCTCATCATCTTCTATTGAGGCTAGGCAAGGCAGCCCGGTAGTGAGAAAGGGTCCCCAAAGCAGTCAAGAGTCAGAGACACTGCTCCCACTATTAGGTGTCCCACATGAAGACTAAGCTACACAAATGTAACATACATGCAGAGGGCTTGGGTCCATCCTGCGCATGCTCTCGGGTTGGCGGTTCTCTGCGAGCCCCTATGGGCCCAGGTTAGTTGATTCTGTAGGTTTTCTTGTGGTGTCCTTGACCCCTCTGGCTCCTAACGTCTGACTGGATGGGTGATGAGCACCTGACTGTGAACTTGACCCCAGCGAATGCTCTGCAGAAGTTCACAGACTGGCAGACTGCCCTGTCCAACCATGTGGCACCTCTTCCCTCATAGCCAGGAGGCTGGAGGTCCAGGTCAGGCCCTGCTCCTGTCTTCCTGGGTGAGCCTGGCTAAGTCACTCAAATCTCAGTGCTTTCGCTAAAACAGTAGAAAGAGCAACACCTGTCACAATGCCTTTAAGACGGAAAATCATAGCTGGGCGAGGAGGCTCGTGCCTTTAATCCCACCACTCCCTGAGTCCAAGACGGTCAAGGGTACACAGAGAAACCCTGTCTCAAAAGGGGGGGGGGGCGGGGGACTAGACCTGCAGATGAAGAGCTAGCTCTAACCCGACAGTCTCAAAGGTTCTGATACTACCAGTATTACCAGGCCTACCTAAAAGCCACGACTCAAGGCCAGCAGCCAGTTGCTGACCATAGCAAATGACTTTCCCCAGATGGTGAAGAGCCGAGGTATATGCTGCTGGGCCCATGTCCCTTTCCTTCCTCTGGAAACAGCTTTTCCCCATGTCCACATGTACATGGCCCTGGAGGGACCCTGCCCTTGCAATTGGATCAGGGCTGGACCTATAAGAGACCTTCTTTGAGCCTTTCTGCTTGTGACCTAGAACCCTTTGCTCTTCAAGCAAGCTTGGCTGTGAATGGAAAGTTTCAGCCCTGTGGGAAAAGCTTGAGAATGAAGCCATTTTGTGAAGAGAAATAGGACACACTGATGGACCTCACGGACCTTCCCGGCCCTTGTTTTTTCAGTCCTTAGCTCTTCCTGTAGATCTGTGGACCACCTCGGCATTTCCTCAGTACATCCCCTCTCTGCTTAAGCTGGGGGTGATGAGCACCTGACTGTGAACTTGACCCCAGCGAATGCTCTGCAGAAGTTCACAGACTGGCAGACTGCCCTGTCCAACCATGTGGCACCTCTTCCCTCATAGCCAGGGCCATGAGGACCCAGAGCAGGCAGAAACACAAGTTTTCCACTCAGCGAAAGGTGGTTTGGAGAAAAACTTCCCAAGATGGCAGGGGTGTCTGTAACAAGGACGTGAGCCTGGATGACAGGAGTGTGACTGGGCTGTGTCCCAGCTGTGTTTCATCGTGGCTTATCCTAAACCTCAGAACTGTTCCCACTGACTTAACCTAGGCTGGAACCCCAGTCGCTGTGGGCGCTCTCCTCGGTATGTCACTCTGCTTTGGGGTCACAGCCCCCCCCCCCCCCACAGTCCACACAAGTAGGAGGAAACTGGCCTGGTTGTAGGTACAGCAGACCTGGGGGTCACCACAGAGCTGCAGGCCTGCAGCCTGCCCTTGAGAGGCCAGCACACATGCTCCCATGCCATCCAGGGCCATCCATGCCCTGGAATGAAGTCAGGGAGACTGACTGAGACCATGGAGAAAGAGAAGCCTTTGCCAGGGGAGGAACCGTACAGGAAGAGGAAGCGAGGTTGCTGCCGCCTTAACCCAGGTGACCTTGGATGAGGGACTGAAGCTCAGTGGGCCACAGTGAGAAATGAGACTAGTTCAACTGCACTGATGGGGCTGTCTTGAGGTGTTGGGTTTTCTTGTTTGTTTGTTTGTTTGTTTTGTGGTTTTTCTTGAGACAAGGTCTCACTAGGCGGCCTTGGCTGGTGGTCTGAAACTCAATATGTAGACCTGGCTGGCCTTGAACTCACAAAGATGTGGCTGCCTCTGCATCCGCTGCCACCACCACGCCCTGGCTTGTTGCTAGTTTCCCTTTCCCCTCAGTCCTGACTCCTTTGCTTCTGCGATTGTTTTGTTTTGGCTGAGCTTCTGAGGCGCTTTCAGCATCTCCAAACCCCTCAAGCAACCAATGTTTATGAATGGATAAATGAATATAGACAGGAAGGATGTCCAACTTGTCCCATCCTTTCCTCCCTCCCCTTTGACCTGCTCCTCTGCACCTCAATGAATTTCCGGTCAGAAGATCTCTACCAGCTTCTGCAATCCCCTCCCACTTTGGAAGAGTCCCACCCAGAGGTCCTGAGCACTGACTAGCAACCTGAACATCCTTTCTGCCTTTGCCTTCATGGCCTCTGCCATCCCACCACTGCCTGGCACCCTATAGTCCCCCACCAGAAAGCAAAGGGACAGGAAACACTGGGCTGTCAATGCTCCGGTGGCAAATCAGAGATTTGAGAGCCTGATCTCAGATCTCCCTGCTCCCCACCCTCACCCAGTACATTTGCCCTAAGCTCACACGCCCCACTGGCTCTCTGGGGCTGTTGGGAGACCTTGACCCTCCTTTCCTGCCAGAGAAGATGATCACCCCAGGCCTGAGGCACCATCCTTCCTTGGGGACTCCTGCTTTGGAGCCAGATGGTTTGTAATGAGATCCAGGCTCCTGCTTCTTCCTCCCTTCCTTCCTTCCCAGGCCGATCCTCAGCGAACAGTCAGAAAGAGTGGGTGGGGGGAGGGGCCTGGGGCTCCCAGGAGATCCCTGTCCAGCTAGGCTTCCTCAGAAGTGACCCTCAGAAACCTCAGGCTGAGCTGCAAGTAAGCCAAAGCGTGCTGTCCCACCATTCATTTTACAAGTAGGGAAACTGAGGCGCAGACAGGTTAACCCATAGACCAACACACACACACACACACACACCAAGCCTTTCCATGACCTTAAGTAGAAAACACCTTCTGCAGTTGAGAAGAAAATTGGACAAGAGCCTGGCACCTCCGTGAGTGCCTTCAGTTACTCATTGGGCATGGAGGTGTGCGCCTCTGTTAAGTCCTGAGCACTCAGCAATGCACTGGCCACCCCAGGGCCAGCTCTACCCAGCTCCTGTCAGAGCTCCCTGGATCTGGACCATGGCATTTGCCCTGGCATCTTTCTGAAGTACGTGGACAGATGTCCCTGTTCCCTCCATTTTAAAGGAAGAAGCGCTTCCTCGAAAGGGGACACTGTGTGTATTATTTGCTCAAAGACATGTAGCTTTTTGTTGTTGTTATTGTTTTAATCCAAAGGCCAGACTTCAAACTCAGGTTCCAGCTAGGCATCCTGGGACATGCCTGTAATCCCAGCACTCAGGGAGCTAAACCAGGAGGATTGCTAGGAGTTGGAGGTCGCCTAGACCACATAGTGAGTTCCAGGCCAACAGAGGCTACATAGTTAGACCTTGTCTCAAAACACAACAAACAGCCCCTGGTCCCCGTGCTAAGAAAGCTCCAGAATGTCCTCAGTGGTGCGTGTGGCATGTGTGCGGATACATGTTCAGCAGCCAGGGGGAGAGGGGACGTGGGCTTTGGCTGATTCCTGGGGTGTGAATGCTCTAGTCCCCGCTTACACCGTCCTTACCAGTGTTTCTAAATGAGACAGAAGGGAACATCTGAGTAACTGTCTTTGAAAGTAAACAAAACCAGCATCCAAAACTTGGATGAACTTGGATGACTGTGTGTTTTCCTACTGTCTGAGGGTTTCTACTGCTGTGATGAAAGACCATAACCAAAAGCAACTTGGGGAGAAAAGGGTTCATGTTGTCTTACAGCCTTTTTTTGGGGGAGGAGGAAAGCTACTTACTGGATTGCTCCCCGAGGCTTACTCAGCCTGCTTTCTTAGGAAACCCAAGACCACCTGCCCAGGGATGGCACCACCACAGTGGCCTGGGTTCTCCTACGTCAGTCACTAATTTAAAAAAGAGGAAAAGCACCTGAGTTGCCTACAGGCCAGTCTGATGGAGGCACTTTCTCGGTTAAGAAGTCCGTCCCTCTTCCCAGATACATCTAGGTCTGTGTCAAGTTGACAAAAACTAACCAGCATGCCTATTGAATAAGAGAGAGTCCAAGAGAGAAGAGGCCGTGGAGACAAGCTCCAGAAATGACAGGTGTGGGGGCACATGACTTCCATATCAGCAACCAGGAGGCTGAAGTAGAGGGATATTAAGTTTGAGGCTAGAGTGAGCTGCAAAAAAGACCCTGTTTCAAATAAAGAAAAAGTCACGTGGGTGGTAACCGCCAGGTGTCCACAGGGGTACCGTGGTCCTAAGAGAAGAGAGTCCCATCAGAACCTATGAAAGGGGGCCTGGAGAATTAGCTCAGTGATTAAGGGCACTTGGTGCTCTTACAAAAGACCCAGGTTCGATTCCCAGATCCTGCATGATGGCTACCAACCACCTGTAACTCCAGTCCCAGGGAATCTGATGCTCTCTTCTGGCCTTTGCGGGTACCAGGCACTCACAGGATGCAAATACACACATACATACAAAACACTCAGGCACATAAAGTAATACAAATGAATGAAATCTAAAAATCTATTTTAAAGACCCACGAGAGTGAGCTGGCTGCAGTGGCGCACACCTTTAGACCCAGCACTCAGGGAGGCAGAGGCAGGAGGCTCTCTGCGAGTTTGAGGCCAGCCTGGTCTGCAGAGTAAGTTCCAGGACAGTCAGGGCTATGTACAGAGACACTGTCTCTCAGAAACAAAACAAACAGCAGGAACACGGGAATGGATCTCCAAGCCCACACCAACTCACAGTGCACACACTTGTACACACAGATAAGCAGGCACACAAACAGCCACCTTCATAGATAAACACACATGCACATGAACACATGCGCACAGATGATAGATTTGTCTTTCCACAGGGAGTTGAACCTAGGACCCACGAATACTAAGCAAACACTCTATCACTGGGCTACATCCCAGACCCCACACAGACTGATGGGTGTTTGAGACAGGGTCTCCTTTCAGTATGGAGAAGGTGGGCTGAGGGCCTGGGGAACATTTAAGCAGAGGATGGGAAAGCTCTTGTTAGGCTTGGGCAGCTCCGTCCCTGCCCGCTCTCCCCAGGACAGCTCTCCTAAGTCCACCCCTTTGAACCAGGAGGCCTCGAATCTAATGCCAACCTTCCTGCCCTCTTCATCTCCACCGTCAAGACTCAGCTGATTGACTCCCTCCCTCAGCCAGAATCACTGGCGCTGTCTCACCTGTGACACTGTTCAGTCAATATCTAGATTTCCGTCTTACCCGCCCCTGCCCCCAGACTACAAGATCCCCGAGGACATCATTAACATGGCATTTGTCTTTGACGGTCCCCTGGCAAAGGCTTCAAAGGGTTTAGGAAATGGCTGTGAATAAATGAACCGATTACAGATGGCCCTGAAAACCTCTTCCTGTCCGTTCACCACACACCAAGGCAGTCTGTCAAGAAGATATGGCACATGCTTCTGACACTTCAGAAATGAAATTCTGGGAAAGGAGAACTAGTGTGCCAGGGCCATCTGAGGCCAGTCAGGAAACACCCAGAGTTCACGTCACCATCCGCATCCCTTGATAATCTGGCCCATGGTAACCGATTTTGCTAATTCGCAATCTGCCTGTTGTGACAGTTACATGAAATAAAGTATCTTTCTGGTTTCCTGAGACAGGATTTCTCCGGGTAGCCCTGGCTGTGTCCTATAGACCAAGCTGGCCTCAAACTCAGATTTGCCTGCTTCTGCCTCCCGAGCACTGGGATTAAAGGCATGAGCCATCCCCCGCCTCCCTGGAGAAATAAAGTTTAAGACAAGTGAAGGGAGTCGTGTTTTGGCAGTCTGTCTAGCCAAATGAAGGGCACTGAAGCCACCATGGAGGACTTAAGCGTCTCTGCAAGCGGATGCTGCTGACACGCACAGCCTTTCTCTGCATCACGATGCTCTGCAGGCTCTGATCACAGTGTGGGCAACAGGTTACAGAGGGGAGCAACGGTAAGAAAGCCGGCTGTGTTCAGCATCTTCTTCCCAGGGCAGAGGTCATCCCGAGACCTCTCCCATCCAGCCCTGCAGGGCAAAAAGGCAATTCTCTCAGTCAGAAGGACTTACTGGCTGGGGTATCTTTTGTTGTTGCTGTCTGTTTTGCCTTATTTATATTTCATTTTGTGTTAGGGAGGGAGGTGAGAGTGTTTGTGAACCTGGAGCTCACTGACTGGGCCAGACGAGCTGGCCATCAAGTTCAAAGGTCAGTCTGCCTCCCCAGTGCTACAATTTCAGGCATGTGGCACCATGCTTGGGAGTTTTACATGGAAGCTGGGCATGTGAACCCAGGTCCTTATGCTAACTAGCAGGCATTCACCTACTGAGTCATCTCCCTAGACTACTTGTCTGGTGTGGCTTGGTTGTTGTTTTTTTGAGATAGCATCTCCTGTAGCCCAGCCCGGCCTTGAACCCCTTGATCCTCCTGCCGCCATCACCTGAGTGCCGGGAATGGCAGACAGGTGTCGCTACACACAGACGGCTAGGGAATCTTCACTATCAGGAAAACCGAATTCACCCTGTATCATCTCAGGCAGGAAAGAGCTGCACACGGGGCGTCCTGGGATAGAAGAGGCCTCCCGTTGCCGGCTTGGACAACGACACATCCAGGGAATCAACACTGCAGAAGGCTCTTCCTGAACCTGCTATTCACAGGCCAAGCCAATCCCCAGCAAATTCCCCGCCTGCCGAGCAGAGCAGACTTAGCGGATGCTGACGTTTTGGCCACAGAAGAGCCATCAGTCCTGAAAACAGAGGACTGATTTTATCTTTTAATTTTTCTGTGGTGCGAGGGCGTGAGCCCAAGGCCTTGCACATATTTCGTGGCCCACTTTAAAACTCAGGGAAGGCCTGGGGTACTGCTTCAGAGAAATGCACCAATGTGCCTCTCACCGTTGCCTTGTCAGTGGATGGAACCTGGGGCCTTGCGCTACCGCTTGCTCTACCACTGAGCCACGCGCCAAGTCCCTCTCCAATTGTTCTGACACCATGGTGAGTTGAAGTCATTGACCACCAGCCCTGAATCTGGGATTTAGGATTAGAACTGGGATTCGGAGTTCTAACAAGGAGACTTCCACAGAGCCAAGCAGCATGCAAGGAGAGCCACAAACTTCAGCTTTAGGAAGAATTGTGGCCATGTGTGCAAGTTCAAACACAGCTCCCTACACATTCAGCCGAGCCTGGCGACAGTCCCCCGTGAAAGATACGAAGACCCCAGGATATTGTAACGGGATGAAGGGACAGTGGGGCTTGGTGGAAGTAGGTGCTTTCGAGCAACCGGGGCCATTTGGATCTCTAAAGAGTCCTAGGACCAACACCCTAGGGATACTAAGAGCATAGTAGTCTCCATCATCAACAGGATGACCTGGAGACACATCTCCAAAGGGCTTTTCCAGAGAGGTCTAACTGGGGAAGGGAGAATGGCCTGGGATACAGGCAATGTTATCCACTGGCTAGGGACCAGGACTAAATAAACAAAAAAAACAAAAAAAGAAAAAAAGGAATCCATCTGAACACCAGCATTCACCTCCCTCTGCTTCCTGACCCTGAACCTCACACCTGAACCTCACACTCTCACTGCCTCGACACGTGGACTGTACCCCTCAAACCGTGAGCCGGAACAAACCCACATCCCTTAAGTTGCCTTCGTCATTCATTTTGTCACAGGAAAGAGAAAAGTAATGAACACAGAGGTAACTGTGGCATGGAGATCACTTCCTTAGCCTTGGATGACCCTGGGGAGGAGACAGAGGTCGGGACAGAGGTCAGGACAGCGCAGAAACCTAATCTGTACTTTATCTTTTGAGTTTTATCCCAGATACACTTAATCACGAAGAGATATAACTTTTGCCTGTAGTACCAGCTACCTGGGAGGCTGAGGCAGGAGGATTACTAGAGTCCAGTTCAAGGCCAACACGGGAAGCATAGCGAGACAACATCTCTTAAAAAAAGAATAAAAGATATATGATAAACTCATTTAAAAAAAAAAACATTACTTTGTATAGTAGTTTAAAAATTAACTTTGTCAGAGCACCGTGTAATCCCAGCACTCAGGAGGCCAGCCTGGTCTACAAAGCAAGTCCAGGGCAGCCAAGGCTACACAGAGAAACCCTGTCTCAAAATAAACTAACCAACTAACTAACTAATTAACTAACTAACTAACTAACCAACTAAATAAATAAACAAATGAGTGAATGAATGAATGAATGAATGAATGAATGAATGAATGAATGAATGAATAAATAGCTTTGATGGGCTGAGAGCTGGCTCAACAGTTAGGGACCCTGGCTGCTCTTCCAAACAACCTGGGTTTGGTTCCCAGTACCCACATGGAAGCTCCTATCTTTAATCCCCACACTGGGGAGGCAGAGGCAAGGGGATCTCTGGTCCACAGAGAGGGTTCTAAGACAGCCAGGACTACACAATGAAAACCTGTCTTAAAAAAAAAAACAACAATAATTTTGAAAGGTTGAGAAAACTATATGTAACTTTAGGAATGATGTTAAATACTAATGCTTAAAAGCCCCGAGTTGCAAAGCTGAGCACAGAAGATATTCTGACACAGATCCATGGGCCGGATGGGCCAGATGTTGGCCAATAGCTGTTTGGAGAGGAAGAGCTGAGGTCCCCTCAAATGTCAGCTCCTCTAGCTACCCCCTTTGACTGAACTTCGACTGAAAGAAGAATGGTTTGCCAAAGGAGAGCGTTCATAGCAGTGCTGAGGGAGGCTGCCCTGTCTCACACACACTGGTCACCTATTAATCCCCTGGGTTAGAGGCCGTTTTTGTTTGAATTCTGGAAGGCTTCCTGATTGCTGGGGTGATGGCGTGCGCCGTGGCACTCAAGTCTTTGGACATTTGGCAAATGGAGCAGCTGCTGGATACAGGGGCTCCTGACCCCCTGACCAGCAACCAGGCTGGTGCCTCTGGAGACACATCTAGGCAAAAAATGACCCCTCTGCCCTAACAAGGAAAAGCCAGGCTCGGACTGAGCTGGGTCAGACACAGGCCCCTGGGGACTCACCTGGCACCTCCGGGGATGAATTGAGAATCATGAAAGCATCAGACAGGCCTGCCTTGACAGGGTGCTGGGCAGAGCTGATATCCAGGACAGCCATGGGGATCTGCAGCAGGGAGAAGAGGCACCCGCCATCCACCTGGAACCCTCTGTGGCCACGAATCCTCCACTCAGCTCCACACCCAGCTGCCTGCTCAGGGCTTGAGGACCCGAATACCAGCAGCCATATTCTATGTCTCTCCCCCCCCCCGCCCCCCCCAGGCATGGATCCTCCAGCTCCACACAGGCTGGAAGTCAACCCCGGCCCCTCCCTTTCTTCCCTTTCCTCTCTCCATCTTCTCCAACCCAGCGGCTCTCATCTCTGTCCAGTTCTCTCATCTTCCTTGTCCATGCTACATCACTCCCCTAGGCCATCTCCCCAGCATTCCCTGAAGTCCCCAACAGCCTGTCATCTGCTCTGAAGCCGGAGTGGGCTTTGCAAAAGCCTGTCTGGTTGTTCCCCTGTCCCATCACCCCCCCCCCCTCCCCGTCACATGCCACTCCTAAAACGCCACTGTCTTCTGGAGCAGAGGTTCTCAGCCTGCCTGACGCTACAGTTCCTCATGCTGTGGTAACCCCCAACTGTAACATTATTTTTGTTGCTACTTCATAGCTATAATTTTGCTCCTGTTATGGATGTGAAGATCTGTGTTTTCCCACGCTCTTAGGTGACCCCTGTGAAAGGGTCATTCAACAACCCTAAGAGGTCAAGATCCACAGGTTGAGAGCCATCCGTCTAGAGCTTTGTATGGCTCGTGTTCTGTCCTGCCACAGGAGCTTTGTACTCGCCACCAAGCCTCAGGCCCACCATGCTCTACACAGATTTGCTGGATAAACAAGAGGCTCTAAAACACACCCACCTCTTTGTAGCCAAAGACAATGCGGCCGTCTCGGTGCAGGGCTGCCTGAAATGTGAAGCTGCCCCTGTCCTCCCGACCCTGGAGGTACACGTGGTCCCACTGAACCACAAACACTGTCCCTGGGGAGAAGAGCAGAGACCTAGCTGAACGGGAGTCAGTGCAGGGGACCCAGCAGGTATAGCAGTCAGAGATTGGGGGGGGGGGGGGGCGGCAATTGTGATTTGGAAAAATGGGAACTAGGCAATCCACAAAGGCCAGCCTGGCTTCCAAGTCACAGGGGCCTCCAAAGATCCTGTGTCTGCCCTCCCCCCCAACTTGCTCATCTCTTACTGTGTGCACACCCCTTCTTCTTTTGCCTATCCTGACCCTTGGAGACAAAGGGAAAATGGAGATGTCCGTCTCCTAGGTGGTCGGGCACTGATGAGACTGAGAAGTGGTGGAGGGTCCCAAGCCAAGATTTCGCATCTTCATCTGGATCAACAAGGCTACGCAGTGCCGCCTCGGTCCCCTTCTTACAGGTGACAAGACAGCACAGGGTAGAATGAGAAGGTGGCTGTCTGCCTGTGTGACTGTGAGCCTGGGGTTCTCAGGAAGGGGTTAGGCCAGGCTAGCGCCCCTTCCCCTGCTGGGTGACAGACCAGGTTAGACCTCTGGGCGGACTATACTCCGAGATCAGGCCTCACCATTGTCGAAGTAAGCGACTGTGGAGCTGTCAGAGTAGCCAGGGTTGAAGTTGGCCATGAGGGGGGCCACGTACTGAGTAGCCGTGAGCATCCGGTGCAGCACGTCGCCCATGAAGATGAAGCCTGAGGGTAGAGAGGGGTCCTCAGAGAGGCTCACTGTGCTGCCTCTAGGGTTCACCCTCACACTGGCAGGGGCTAGAAATGAGTCTCATGGCCTTAACCCCTCCCCTCCCAGGGGTCTCGGGACTTGGTGAGATTAACAAAATGGCCCGGACTAGAGAATGTCTGTCCTAGATCTCTGGATAGGCACAGACCACAGAGGGTAGAAGGAAGAGGCAGTGACTCCCATCTTCCCCTGTTTCGGTGGAAGTCGGAAGTAGGATGAAAGTGACAGGAATCAGAGGTCCTCCTGTCAACAAGGACCCTCATCCTTGCTTCCTCGGGCTCAGAAACAGACCCCAGAGGTGCACGTGGCAGCCTCGTCGGTCCAGGGGGATAGACACACGCACCCACTCACACATGCAGGCATGCGCACAGGTCTGAGTGGGACCTTCAAGGCCTTCCCTGACTTCCTCCCTAGCCCACCTATCCAACCTGTCTCCAGTGAGCCCCTCAAGAACCAACCTGAGTCAGGCCGAGACCTAAGCCCTCCAAGCCACCCCCAAACACATGCTGCTCCGTCTTTACCTCCGGTTGCTATGGTGATCTGCCGCAGAGGATGTCCGTAGAAAGGGAAATCAAAGGACAAGACCACTCTCTACAGGGACAGGAGAGAGTCCCCGTGGATGAGGCTGCCCGCCAAACACTGGTCACCCTCCCTGCCCCAGACTTGTCTGAACAATGTGGGCATGGGTGTATATCCAGGGTAGGGACCCCTCGGATTAGCTGGGTACCCCCACTAAGTATCCTCTGACTGAACCCACTCCAGACCACAAACCTCAGGCTATAACCATATCCACTCCTGGACAGGCACTGCTGGCCTAGGCCCCAGCCTCCCTGCCCAGGCCATTCTGTCTGACCTAGGCACTCACCGAAGCCTGCCTGTGAGAGCTGGAGAGGATCCTGTGGACCTTCACGTGGCTCCGGTTGGCCACAGCCATGTCCACCCACAGTTCCCGGCTGCGGCGCTCACCAGGGCCATAGACACGGGACACGTAGTAGTTGTGGTTGTCTTCCTGCAGGGACAGAGACAGAGCCCATAGGAGGTGTGAGGAGCCAGGCAAGCTGGGCACCGCTCTCTTCCCCAGATTCTCCTAACCCAGAGCCCTGGACCGTCTGCTTTAGGCCTGGGAGCTTCTGAAACACCCTCGGAGGGCACCAAATCATCACCTGTTACATGTGTGCTCAGCCCTGTCCTGCGTAGACAAGCTAGGCTTATCCTATAGCCCTGAATGTTTCAAAGCGCAACAAAGGCCAAGTTCAGCATTGGGGTCATGATGGAGAAACCCCAGAGAAAGCCTTTGTCTTCAATGATCATGCCTAGACCATAACGGACACAGACTCTCTTACCTGCCCTAAGGAAAAAAGAGAGAAAAAAAAAAAAAACAACTAGGTCTGAGATGGTCAAGGGAGAAGGTGGTTGCTGATATTAGGGAGTTGCTAGTCTGTTGGACGAGGCAGGACAAGGGCAGTGGGACAGAGTCACGAGCAAAGGAGAGAAAAGCGGGCACTCTCACTATGATTGCCAGATGGAGCAAAAGAGGAGAGAAACAAGGAGTTCCTCAAGGAATGGTTTTTGCGTCTCCCTGTGTGGCTGATGCAGACCCCACAGAGGGCTGGGTTCTTTGCATAGTCTCCCTCAGAGGAACATGTGGGGCTTAGAGCAGGCCAGGGAAGTGGCTGGCAGAAAGAGTGGGTGAGCCAGCAGGCTGGGCTGTGTCTCAGCACTCCCTGGAGCTGGCCCAAGAGCACCTCACAGAAGGCCGGTGGCGGCAGCAGGAAGGTCAAAGGTTCCCAAGGCTCCCTCGGCTGCAGTGATGCCCTGGGCACCAGGGATCATTAATTAGGCTACAGACAGAGCAGAGCAAACCGTGTTCTTCCTGCAGAGCTGCCAGCTGTCTGGCCGGTAGGGAACCGGGGCCCTGGCCACTGCGTGCCTGCAGAGAGGCAGATTATGATTCTGACAAGCGATACATATAGCTCGGATTGGCCTAGAATTTGCTATGTAGCAGAGGCTGGCCTTGAACGCCCCATACTCCCGCTTCTACTTCTCAAGCGCTTAGGATTTCAGACACATGCAACCATGCTGACTTAAAAACTGCCTCCGCTTCAACTTGAGCCCCTGACATGCAAGAACAAGTGAGTCACCTCTGTTCCTGTGGACCAAGGTTCTCCCTCAGCTGTGCTGTGCTCTAGAAGTGTGTGGGAGTCAGGTGTGGCACACATGTCATCTCAGGATCTTGGGAGGCGGAGGCAGGAAGATCACAAGTTCAAGGCCAGCCAGACCTACATAGACTCAGGGTCAGCCCAGGTAACCTATTGAGACCCTGCCTCAAAATAAAATAAACACAAAGCAAACAAAACCCAGCTTGGGTCATAGCTCAGTGGTAGAACATAAGGAAAGTGCAGGGTTTGGTCCCCAAGACAGCAGCAGCAACAATAGCAGTAACAAATTCAACAAACTGTGTTTGAGGCACAATTTGTGTCCACTTATGCTAAGAGACTAGTGAGGGACCGGGCCCCTGCAGTGGGTTGAGAATCTGGAAATCAACATGACTCCTCAGATCCCAGGCTGGAGTCCTGGTTGACAGCGACGGACAAGGAGGGACAAGGAAGTTCTGATCCTCCGCACGCCGCGGTGGATTTAGGCTCAGCCTTCCGAAAGGTAAATTCAGGCCCACCCTCTAATCCTACGAAGGTGCCCTCCCTAGAGAGAAGTCTCCGCAGACTTCTGTAGAGTCAAGGGAACACAAGGTCACCCCTGATTAGGGTAGCCCTGATCCAGTGGCTGCCATCTTTGTTGTTGTTGTTTTTGTTTGTTTGTCTGTTTGTTTTTGACAGGATTTCTCTGTATAACCCTGGCTGTCCTGGAACTCGCTCTATTGGCTGGCCTTGAACTCGGAAATCCACCTGCCTGCTGGGATTAAAGGTGTGAGTCACCACAATGGGCTGCAGTCTTCACCTCTGGAGAGAAAGGGCCAGAGAGAGGAAATGAGGAGACACAGGAAGTCATGAGATCATGGAGGCAGAGACTGGAATGATGTCCATAGGCCAAGGGGGCCAGGGACTGCCAGGAGTCACCAGGAGCTGAGAGGCTGGCAAGACAGGTTCTTCCCAGGGCCTCCAGAGGGAGGGTGAGTTCTGTCTCTAGGTCTGAGAGAGAATAAATGCTTTCTTATGGCAGAAAACGAATTCAGGTGCCCACAGGCACACGCTGCTGTGGCTCCATGGGGACAACCTGGAGTTGTTCTCCTCTCTCTCCCTGTCACTCCCCTGCTGAGGACACTGTGGCACCCAGGTAAAGAGAATGAATGTTAGGCCCCCTACCACAATGTTCAAGGCCCCATGGGGCAGAATCTGGCTTTGCCTGGCCAACATCCACTCCCCTTCCCTCTTTACTAATGGAGCCTTGTAACAAGCAATACAGCAAAACAGAAAGCAAACGACGGGTTGTTGAGGTTCTTATGGAGTCTTTGGGACGAAATCCAGCTTAACCGCTTGCCCCTGTTGCTTTTTCCTTGTCCTTGTCCTGTCAGGCATGCAGATGTGATGGCCGGATCTCCAACATCCACATTGTAGGTTTAAGGGCCAATGCCACATCCTAAGGATGGAGATGTATGGAGCTCGGGACCAGGGCTTTGATGACATATTGGAAAGATGCCCCTTAAGTCTCTGATGCCTGATGGCGGTGGTCTGAATTCTCCCCACCCGTCTCCCACCCCTGTACCTTCCTTTCTCTCCCTGTTTACTGCAATCCTGTCTGTTGGGCTTCCTCTGTCCTGGAAATCATCAGCGCTTGTCTGCCTTGGGGTCTCCCGTCTTTAAAAATCTTTTCCCACGATCCGTTCAAAGGATGGCTCTTCAACCAGGCCTGGTACACATGCCTGGAATCCCAGAACTACAGCCATCCTCGACTACAAGTGAGTCTGAGGTTAGCCTGGGCACTTGAGACCCTGTCTGGGGCGAAGGTAGAGTACTTGACTACTCAGTGAGGGGACGCTCCCTTAAGAGGCCAGCCACACTCTGAGTCTCTCCCTCAAAGATGTCTCACCTAGCTCTTCCAAGTTTTCTTCCATTAAGATTTACTTACTTCTGGGCTGGACAGATGGCCCCGCCGTTAAAGGCTAGGCTCTCAACCAAAAAGATAAGATTTACTTAATTCATGTGTGTGTGTGTGAGTGAGTGTGTGTGTGTGTGTGTGTGTGTGTGTGTGCGCGCGCGCTTTGTTTGCATATATGCCTGTGTACTGCACGTGTGCACGGTGCCTGAAGACATCGAAAGAGGACATCAGATCTGCAGACTATTGTGAGCCATATTGTGGGTGCTGAGAATTGAACCTGGGTCCTCCGGAGACGGGGTCTCCCTATGCAGCTCAGGTTGATCTATGCCTCAGCCTCCTAAATGCTGAAATTACCAGGATAGGGCACAACAGTGGGCTTCCTCTTCCTATGGAGCCTGCAGGGTCCTGCCCTGAGCTCCTCACTGATAGCCTTATCTAGTCCCCATCACTTTTCCACAGTGGGATAAGTTCCCACCCTTTTGCTGGCACGGCAAAAGGCTGGCATGGCAAAAGGCTGGCATTTCACAGGCACCACTGTCAGCCATTCCAGAGGCCCGTTTTGTTTTTTGAGATAGGGTCTTTCTACATAGCCCTGACTGTCCTAGAACTCACGCTGTAGACCAAACTGGCCTCCAACTCACAGAGATCCACCTGCCTCTATCTCTTAAGTGCCGGGACTAAAGGCATGTGTCACCAACCTGTCCTAAAAAGGCATGTGTCACCAACCTGGCCCTCCATCTTCTTTTTTAATATTTATTTAATTTATGCATGAGTGTTCTATCTGCATGTACACCTGCAGGCCAGAAGAGGACATCAGATCCCAGTATAGATGGTTGTGAGCCACCATGTGGTTTCTGGGAATTGAACTCAGGACTTCTAGAAGAGCAGACAGTGCTCTTAACCACTGGGCCAATTCTCCATTTTTCTAAGTAGGGAAACAAAAGCCTCAGATCACAAACCTACTTGAAGCCAAATCAAAGACAGGGAGGAGCTAAGGAAGGTGTGTCAGCAAGTGACTGGGAGGGAAGCAGCAGGGTAGATTCCTCCCCAGAGCTGAGGAGAGCTGCCCACAGCGAATGAGGTGGCACACCTCCTCACTCAGGTTCAGAAAGATAACTTGGCCCCAAGGCCATTGAGGAAGCTTGGAAGGCAGGACCTGGCTTCAGTGGGACTGGGCCACCTGAGGGGTCAGGGCCTAAGGAGTCCCAGCCTCAAGAGGAAGCAAGGAGGGAAGTGAAGCAACCAGGCCCTAGTCTCTCAGCGACACAATTGATTGGGAATGTGCCTCAAGGTCAAGATCAAGTATTTTGCACCTTCGCTGCTGTCTGCATCATAGGTTCTAAGACTGGTGACCTTGACATACAAGAAGGCTGACTTGCATCCTGATTCCTAGATTACAAGATCTTCTCTGATGGGTGTGGTGGTGGACGCTTTAATTCCAGCACTTGGGATGCAGAGGCAGAAAGATCGCTCTGAGCTCAGTTCTCCGCCTGATCTGGGGAACCCCAGATATTCTAAAGAATGTTATATAGCCCTTAGGAAGATTACAAGTCCAACCCTTTCCTGGTAAGAAACCCACTCAGCAACCACCTGGGGAATTCCTGGAAACACCCACCCTATGCTAATTAGATGTCTTGGCTTTCAACCAATGACCTTTAACTGTACCTGCAGTTCTCCTCCCACCTGTAAGATACTGCTTTCCCCCTCTCATGAGAGGGCATATAAATCAAGTATCCCTGGCACTCCCTAGCCCCAGAAAACCAAAGGCATTCAGGCTCAAAACCCCTCCCACTGCCCAAAGGTTTATAAGTGACTGTTTCACAGTAAATAAATGGGACAGCATCATCTATTTCACCAGAACCGGCTGACACTCATCGTTTATCGATGGAACCCCAGGCTTGCTGGCCAGCCACTTTGAGGTTCTGCCATTCGTCGGCATGTCAGCAGACTGATGCT